TGCAGAATATATGGACTTTGCAGGAGGCGATTAACATGGCATTGAAGGCTGAATTGTTGGAGAAGGAGAAACGCCAACCCAACTTCCGCAGGAACACGACGGAAGCCTCTGAATATACTGCTGGTGCTTCTAGTGGCTCAGGAGATAAGGGGAAAGCACAGCAGCAGAATCTTGGAGGATCGACAAAACCAGCAATAGTTGGCCAAAACAAAAATTTCAACGAAGGTAGCAGCCGGAATTACAACAGAGGGCAGCCCCGAAACCAGTCCCAGAATCCGTATGCTAAGCCCATGACGGACATATGTTACCGTTGCCAAAAACCAGGGCATCGTTCTAATGTTTGTCTAGAACGGAAGCAGGCCAACTTTATCGAAGAAGCCGATGAAGATGAGGAAAACGATGAAGTCGGGAAAGATGATTATGTAGGGGCTGAATTTGCAGTTGAGGAAGGAATGGAGAAGATTACCTTGGTTTTGCAGAGAGTTCTTTTGGCACCAAAGGAGGAAGGGCAGCGTCATAGTATTTTTCGTTCCCTCTGCTCAATTAAAAACAAGGTGTGTGATGTGATCGTCGACAATGGAAGTTGCGAGAATTTCGTGTCAAAGAAATTGGTGGAGTATTTGCAGTTATCTACGGAGCCTCATGTCAGCCCTTACTCACTAGGTTGGGTTAAAAAAGGCCCTTCGGTTCGTGTAGCTGAGACTTGCCGAGTGCCACTGTCAATTGGTAAGCATTACAGAGATGAAATATTATGTGATGTTATTGACATGGATGCATGCCATATTTTGTTAGGGCGACCTTGGCAATTTGATGTGGATGCAACTTTCAAGGGACGAGATAATGTAATTCTGTTCTCTTGGAACAACCGGAAAATTGCAATGGCAACCACACAGCCCGCAAAGCAATCTGTTGAGCCCAAGACGAGGAGTTCTAGTTTCCTAACCCTAATTCGCAACGAGCAGGAGTTGAACGAGGCTGTCAAAGAAGCAGAGTGTTTTTTTCCCTTGGTGTTGAAGGGGTTGTTGAAAATTGGCGGAGGAGAAGGTGACATTCCACAAGATGTGCAGCAGATTTTGAATCAATTTCAAGAACTACTTTCTGAAAATCTGCCAAACGAGCTGCCTCCTATG